GTACCAAATATAGGGCAGCTGAGGGACCAGGCTGTTAGAAACAGGGTGCTACTGGAGGATCAGTGCTGTTGCTGGCTTCCAACATGACCTCTGAATGTCAAAAACATGTGGAAATGAGATTTATGTCGTACTGGAGGCTGAGCTGACTGATGCTAGATCTTCAAATGGAAGAAAGCAAGGTTATGTTGAGTATTGCCATTACCAAGAGGTCTTGGCTGAGGTGGCCAGGGGGAAAACAGCTGGAACCACAAGAACGAGAGGTGGTGGCCTCAAGTTATGCCAGGGGAGGGTCAAGTTGAATAGTAGGAAAAAAAATCCTCTCAAAGAGTGGTGCTGCATTGGCACAGGCTGCCCAGGGGGGTGGTGGAGTCAGTATCCCTGGAGGCATTCAAGAACCATGGAGATGTGGCACTGAGGGACATGGTCAGTGGGCACGGTGGAGATGGGTCAGTTGTTGGACTTGATATTAGAGGTTTTTTCCAACTTTGATGATTCTAAGGTTGTGAAGCCCAAGACCATTCTTACAGCTGTTTCTTCTCCCAGAAATAGCCCATAGGCAAATGCCCCCAATGCACCAAGGTGGCTTGGAAATGTGAAGAAAAAGCAGAGAGCTCATTTTGTTTCCCAGTGCTCCAACTCCCCAGTCCTGGTAGGGCAGACAGCCCTTCTGTCCCTGTCTGTGCTGCTGAGGCAACAGGCACATCAAAAGCAGCAAGATGCCATGCCTCCAGCCAGGCAGTGTGACGGCAGCGTACAGTGACTAAGCCATTTCCCATCTCCAAGAGGTGCTGTGGTGGCGGATGAGGTAATGCAGTACATCTCAGTGTTGCCATAAATCTCAGAACAGCTTTACGTAAAGAGTTTGTGTCATGTAGCTGGGAGCTTTTCAGCCACCTCCACTCTACTTTGGACTGCAGCGCCCAGCAAATGCAATAAAACAGCGTGAATGCATTCAGAGTGGGAATCGCATTCTATAGAAGCTCTTTTTGCAGGCTCCGTGTACCAGGGCTGGGCTGTGCAGCCCTCCCAAAGCCCAGCCTGGAAGCAGCAGCGCTGAGCTGCACCACTCATTGCTGCTGACCCACTTCCCTGGGATGAAATATTGATGGATCCTTCTCCCAATGTGCTGTTCGCTGCTTCTTGCATCCCAGATTAAATGCTTCCCACCCAACGAGCCCTTTGAATTTTGAGCATCAAGAAGCTGAGAAGCTTTCAGCAGGCAGCAGCCTCAAATCGCTGCTGGCAGTATCTGTGTCATGCCTGTGGCTGCATCAAGACCTGGAACCTCAGCCATCACATCCGCGGTCCTTGAGCCTCACAGGATCTGTGTAAATTAATGCCACAGTTCTGCTTTGTTACCTACTCTTACCCTCTGTGAAAATAACTCCAAGAGCCCTAATAAGAGCTATAAACCTGCTCGCTGTCTCGTGCAGACAAACCCTTCTTCATGTGCCTTGCAGCTGCATGGCAAGAAAAGGGAAAGCAGCATTGAAACAACCCAGGACACAGAATTTTGCCTCCATGGTGTCACTCCATGAGGCCATGAGACTGCATGAGAAGTCACTCCAGATCTCCGTTACTGGAACAAGGCTGTAGCCCTTTCAAAACTGCAGGGCATTAGATCCCAAGCCTTTCTCTGGGACAGCTTTGCTCAGCCGTCCTCCCAGAGCGCTGCCTGCTCCAGGATGAAGGCCACCACCTCCCCCAAAACCCTCAGGGTCTGCCCAGAGAACAGAAGAGCAATTCCCTGTTGTGTCCATCCAAACACCTAGCAGGAACCTCAGCAATACCCCAAATGCAGAAGTGCTTTTGGTACCTCCAAGCTTTGCAGTTCTATTTCCTGTGTGGTGTGCCAAGAGAGGAGATGGGGAGAGGATTCACCCTCCTAATGCTGCTTTTAAAGCCCCATCTTGACAGTCATTGCTCCCACTTCTCTCTGAAGTGCAACAGACACGAGCAAAAAAGAAAGCAAAAAAAAAAAAAAGAGGAAAAATAATAGGATGAGAAAAGAAAAAAAGGGTAATCTCTGACACTGTACAATAGCCCCAGGGACTGCAGTAAGCAGCAGCGGATTTGGCAGCTCTCTTCATTTTACGGGCATCCTGATAGACCCTTCAGATGGAAGCCTCTCATGGCATCAACCCTGCTGCATCTCAGCTGTGGCCAAAAAGATTGCAGATTCCATTCTGCAAGATCTGAAAACTGTTGCTTTGCAGCTGAAATGTGAGGAGCCCCTGCAGGTGGATGGGGAGTAATTCAGCAGTGACCTTCTGGGGATCTGGGAAGTCTCCAATGCAGGAAGGCTGCCCTATATCCATCCTTCCTCCCCGCATCCCACCACGGATGGAACCGCTGCACCACAGTTGTGGCCACCCGCCAGCCAAGGGATGAATATGTGCAGTTAGGGGAAATTCTAGATTTTTCTTCCTGCTGCAACTGCATGGGTGAGGGGCTGGAAAGAAGGGAGCTGCTGAAGGTCGTGGCTGTGAAGGTCAGAATGTGGAGGTTGGTCCCCGTTTGGAGCAGGGAGCTCTGTCCAGCTGCATCCTCCCATTCCTGACAGCATCCTGCCCAAGTCCCATCCAGGAGAAGAGGCTGCCACCACCTTCCTATGGCCCCAGCACCAAAGTTCTCCCAGGCTGATCTCAGATATGGCATAAAAATCCTCTCTCCCCTCCTCAGTGGGGACCAAGACCTCAGGCAGGGACTAAGCTAACACATCTCTGCACACATGGATGCAAAAAGAGCTACACAAAGAGGTGCACAAAGTGTTCCAGACACCCCTCATGCATTTCATTCCTATCTGATGTCCCCCTCCCGTTTGGCACACTAGCTGAAAAACCTCTCAGCTCTCCATGAGGAGCTTGATTTTGGTTTTGGTCTGTTTCTCTTTGTAAGCAACTTTTCAGCACAAAGCAGGGGACAATATCAAATGCTATCCATTTGGTATCAGAAATATAGCCTCACCCCAGCAGAACAACCCCCAGCTCCTAACCTGGAAAAAGGAAACATTTATCAGCCAGGGCTATTAATTACCAGCACTGCTTGCTCTGCATAGCCTCCTGCCTGTGAACTGCTAGCAATTAGACATTTAACATAGCATGATGCAGGCAGAAAGGAGCAGGAACACAGCTGGGAACCTGGCAACAGCCTTCCAGCGCTGCAGCCTCCATCCCAGCTCCCTGCCTCTATCCCTGGTCCTCCCTCCATCTCAGCTCCATGCCTCCATCACAGGGCTTCAGCTTCCATCCCATTTCCCAGCTCCGTCCCAGCTCCCTGCCTCCATTCCAGATCTGCAGCCTCCCTCCCAGCTTTCTGCCTCCATCCCCTCTCCCAGCCTCCACTCCAGCTCCCAGCTCTATTCCAGGGCTGCCTGACCTTGAAGGACATGTGCCGAGATCCTTGCTATTTTGGGTTAAGACATGTTGTTATTTATTAACAGGTATTAAAATCTCCCTCCCCTCTCTCCAAACTCCCCCCCGGTTAGTGGTATGCAGGGGGAAAAGCAGCAGCCTTACCTCTGTCCTCCAGTGCTGGCTCTTGCGCAGAGAGGAGGGATGGTGGCAGAGGAAGAAGGGAGGGTGGGGGAGTGGAAAAAACTTGGGAGTTTCCCACAATGCACCTCTGCAGACCGCAGGAAGATGGCGAGCAGGGGAGGAGGGCAGAGAGTGCTCCAATCCGGAGGGGAGGGCTGGGACAGGATGCCAAGGGGAAGGGATGGGGGGGGGAGGGGATGGAGGGGCATGTCTGACACCTCCGTGTCTCAGGGCTGTCCCCACAGCACTGAGCATGCAGCAATTGCAGCCACCACCTTGCAGCAGGGGGGAGAGAATGGGAGGGGGGCAGCCCGGCAATCTGAGATGCTTCTGAGTGTAGGGAAAAGGGGTAAAAAAATAAAAAATAAAAAATAAAGGGATTTTGGGGCTCATGGCACTCAGGATTTCTGAGGATGTTGTTAGAAATGCTCTCATACAAGAAATGCTTTGCATAGTGCAGGGAAGGAAGCTAAAATGTTGTATGGGGGGGGGGGGGGGGGTGGACTGTGGCATCTCTGTTCTCTTCTCCCTGAATCCTCCCAGGTTGAAACCACCTCACAGGACATTACTGGAGCCAAACCTTGCATTTCCCCATGGCCAGGTCCTGGGACTTCTTGTGGGACTTTTAGCTGGATTTGATCAGGAAGTAAGGGCTATGATGCTTGTCTGTGTTTGAAGCAAACTACAAAAAATCCATTGCAGGAGAGCGCAGGAGGAAACCAAGTGCCAGCACAGCACGCAGTGCTTCAGCTCAAGATGCAGCAAGGTGAAAGCAGCTCCTTCAAGGTCAGAGGGAGACCTTGTCTGTTGTATGGGCCTTGGACATTTGCCATAGGCTTCATGCAATAACTACAATAAATAATGTCATAGCAGGTGAAATCTGCAGTCATCATATTTACTTATAAGCATTTTTCCCCTTCAGTATATTATGGTTATCATAATTCAGCATCTCTGCTGCTGGTCCACCTGCAACTTGTTGTCTGCAGAGACTGCTCCTGTACACGAACAGACCTGCCAGCATCACCAGATTGTCATAATTTTAGCATGTTTTTCCAGTGCTGAGTCTGGAGCCCAGGTAGATGCAGCTTTTGAATGCCAGAATTCTGTGGGCTCCCTCAAGGGCTGTCGCAGCTAATAAGAATTCTCATTTTCATCTCCTGTTATGTGCTTTCTATCCTCCTTTCTCCAACCACACCTCCCCTATTTTATTCCATTATCAGAAAAATCATTGTCCACTGCAAAAGATTCTGCTTACATATTTCTTCTCCTAATAACGTTTATAGTACCCTATACTCCTAGTGGGAGGTTTTTTATTACAGTAGTTTCCACATTATTTATTCTGTTCTATAATAGGACTATTTGTCCTTGGTCATGTCTAGCTCTCATCGATGAAGCTTGCCTTTGGTTTATTATTAGTATGCTGTGTCCATACCTGATCATTACAACTGGTTTCTTTCTCAACAGTGTGATATGCACCTCGGTCAGCCAGAGCAGGACTGAGAAGATCTGATTGTTGTAAGGTCTGTATGGTAATTCTCCTGTCCATTAGTATTAATGCCCACTGCTACGCACATAGACGGCACTCCGCTGGGCAGCCTGATCCACAGCAGGGGTTGGAAATGAATGATCTTTAAGGTCCCTTCCAACCCAACCCAACCATTCCATGGTTCTATGATCCTTAAGACCCCTTCCAAACCAAACACTCTGTGGTTCTGTGATCTTTAAGGACCCTTCCAACCCAACCATTCTATGGTTCTGTGATATGATTCTGCTGCTCTGGTAGCTAGCATAGCATCCATTAAGACTATTTTTCATTATTCTCAGGAGACAATAATTTGAACAAGTTGCTGAAGTGAGCCTGTGTCCTACAGGTGCATTAGGAAGCCCTAGTATTGCCAGTGAAGGGTTTTATCTCTTCTCTTCAAAAAAACAACCCTGAAAAATGATTCTTCAGCAAGCAGGGTGGCAAAGAAACGGTTGGAGCTATAATTGAAAACCACTTGTTGTCTGCTGGTAGCTTAGCAATAATCACTGCCTTGCTAAAATAGGAGCAGTTCTCATGGTGAACACGTTTATTTGGCAGCACTCCATTGTCATTTGTCAGGATTTCCCATCAGCCTCGCTAATGGGACACAGTGAAAAATTATACAGGTTTATAATTTGTCAAGAAATGTTGTTTAAAACAGTCCTCAAAGATTTGGCTTTGGCTTCTTCAAGGCATGACCAGAAGATGCCTGACTTCAGCTTGGGTGCTGCATTTTCCCCAGGGCCGATCTTTCTGCCATGCCTGCAGAGTGGCTGTTAGAGTACTGTGAATCTGTCTCTTACTGCTTATCTCTGTCCTCTGGCCCTTTAGAATGGCTTTTTAATGTTTCTTGTATTACTTGTACAGAAATACATCTCTTCGGGTGTTGTACTCCTACCATCACCATTCCCATCCATCCCCTCTCCTCTGTTATCCACCTCCCTCCTTGCTGAAAGCCACTTATCCCATGTTAAATTTTACCCTTTTCTCCTGAACCTAGCTCATAACTGCTAGCAACCCTGTGTGATCTCTGCCAGGGAATTTCCCCATGTTATGCTTTTGGGCAGAATGTTCTTGTGCTTCATTGCTAGAGCCACCTGTGCCTCACCAGCAACAGGTTGGTGGGACCTGACATCATATCCCACCAGCACCTTTGTAATTATGCGTTGGCTTGTAAAGTCTTCTCCCAGTTTCTAGCTTTGAGTGACACCCTGTTTTTCTTCCCTCAATGATTTTCTGCCCTTCTGTGTCAGTGTTTTTCCTGCTCAATCTCTGATCCAGCAGCAACCCCCTTGTGAGCAGCTCTGTCCCTGTGAAGTTCACACCAATACCCCTCACTGCCCTTTCTGAATGGGTGTGAGACTGAGCCTCAAGCACCACTCTGGCTGCTCTTGGTTCTTATGTATTCTCAGGGATGTCTCATAACAATGTTGAAAGAGCACTGATTCCTAACCCTTGTTTCTTTCAGGTGATTTTCCATATCCCGCAATGGCAGGAGAAGAAAGCACCGTCCTCTTGGAAGCACTGGAAGGTCTCACACTGGAAGACTTCCAAGACTTCAAGAAAAAGCTGCCACACGTTGATAGCAAAGAAGGCTGGAACATTCACAGGGATGAGCTGGAGAAGTTCACCCATCCTCCCACACTCATCAGATTTATGCACAACAGCTATGGGGAAGCTGCTGCTATGGACATTGCCATCGGATTGTTTGAGGAGATGAACCAGAAGCACCTTGCTGAAAAAATCCTTGATGAGAAGGTGAAAGGTAAGCAGCCAGGGTAAATTTTTATCTCCTTTGGCTTTTGAGTGCTGGGGACAGGGAGAAGTCAGTAAAAGAGAAGGTTTCAGCTTTGTGGTGAGTCTGGAAAGTGAGGGTGTCCCACTCATCCTGTCAGCGTTCCTCTTCTTCCTTACCCCATAATGCACTGAGGCCACAAGCAGAGTAAGGCCTGTGGGGACAAGGCCAGGGTGCCTGGAAGGGGCAACAGTGTTCCTGTACAAGCAGTCACTGCAACCACAAGGTCCAAGCAGGCAGATGTTTGCTAAGCTGGAAGACACAAGGGACACCTTGGCGACATTCCTGGTAGGGCTCAGAAGAAGAAAGAGGGCTCAATGGAAGTGCATAACTGAATTTTATATCGAGGCAGAGCACTCAAATAAATGTCCTGTGCTGTTGCTGTGTCAGGAGCATGGCTGTGCTTTGGAACTGACTCCACTTCTGTCTGGTGCAGAGTACAAGCAGAAATACAGAGAGCACGTGGCCAGAGAGTTCCTGCAGTACAGAGAGGTGAATTCCTGGCTAGGGGAGAACCTGTCTGTGAGCGACCGCTACACCAACCTGACCATAGCCAGGAGGTCTTGGAATCAGCATGGAGATGAGCCTGGAGATGTCAGCTCTGACACTGTCACCACACAAACGCTCTTTGAACCCAGCAAAGACGGCCAACTGCAGCGGATCACAGTGCTGGTGGGTGCCACTGGCATGGGGAAGACGATGACAATCCGGAAGGTGATGATGGATTGGGTGGAAGGGACCCTCTGCACACAGTTTGACTATGTCTTCTGCATAGACTGCAAGGAGCTTTCCTTTTCCAAAGAAGTGAGCATGGTGGACCTGATTTCAAAATGCTGCCCTCAACAGCGAACACCAGCTGGAAGGATTTTGGGTAACCCGGAGAAGATCCTGTTCATCTTTGATAGCTTTGAGGTCCTGGGATTGCCCTTGTCTCAGCCCAAGGACGAGCTGAGCACTGACCCCACAGAAGCCAAACCACTGGAAACCACCCTGCTAAGCTTGCTCAAGAGAAAAGTCCTCCCTGAGTCCTCTGTGCTCATTGCCATGAGACCAACAGCTCTCCAGAGCCTGAGGCAGTGCCTGGAGGGTGAACATTATGTGGAAATTCTGGGGTTTGCAACAGCTGCAAGGGAGGAGTATTTCCACAGGTATTTTGGGAACGACAATAAAGCAGATGTGGCCTTCAGGTTTACCAGAGGAAATGAGGTCCTCTACAGCTTGTGTGTCATCCCCATCATGAGCTGGACTGTCTGCACCATCCTTGAGCAAGAGCTGTTCAAGAGGAATCATCTTCTTGCATGCTCAAAGACCACCACACAGATGATCTTGTTCTACCTCTCCTGGTTAACAAAGCACAGAGTCAGTAATGCCTGGTGGAACCTGCAGCAGTTCCTGCACAAGCTTTGCTCCTTGGCTGCTGACGGCATCTGGAAACACAAGGTCCTCTTTGAGGAGAAGGAAATTGAGGACCAAGGCTTGAATCAGCCAGAGCTTCTCTCCCTCTTCCTCAATGAGAAAGGTTTGGAGAAAGGTACAGACCACGGGAACGTCTACAGCTTCAGCCACCTGCACCTCCAGGAGTTCTTTGCAGCAATGTTTTACGTCCTGGAGGACCAGGAGGAAATGCTCAGTGACTCACGGATCCTTGCGAAGGATGTGAATATGTTGTTAGAAAGCTACCACACGTTTAGGACGGATTTAAACGTGACGGTGCGGCTCCTGTTTGGTCTGGTGAACCCCCAGTCAGTAGAGTATGCAGATGAAGGAATTGGGTGCAGAATTTCATTGCGACCTCGGGAAGATCTGCTGAGGTGGCTTCAGACAAGACACAGAGACCTTTGCCATCCCCGTACAGGGATGACAGTTGAGGATTTGGACACTTTCCACTTTTTATTCGAGACAAACGAAGAAAGCTTTGTGCAGAGCGTGTTGGGCAGATTCACAGGAATAGCCTTGCAGGGCGCCAAGCTGACGCTGTATGACCAGGTGGCTCTTTGCTTCTGCATCAAGCAGTGGGCTGGGCTGCTCAGTGTCACCCTCCGGAGCTGCTCCTTCCACCAGCAGCATCGCAGGCAGGAGCCAGCCAAGGGTTTTCCCTGGTGAGTACTGACTCTGTGCTCTGTATCCACAGAGGTTTCCCCTTTTCCCTTGCAAAGCAAAGTTCTGGAACATTCTGGAATTGTGAATGCCTCTTTCAATCCAAACACCACCTCCTGTCCTCACTGATGGTTTAGTCCCTTAGTGGAGGATTTTACCTCTATTTGGTGAGAACTGTGAGACAACGTGGCCATACTCATCCCCTTCTTCCTAGGCAGAGCTGGCGGCAGGAGGAGCTGCACTCACCTCTGTACCCACTGTGCCAGGCACTGGGGCACCCAGGCAGCTTACTCCAGAGCCTTAGGTATGGATGGCCCTGCCCTGAGGCACTGCGTGGGCACCTCCACAGGGTGAGGGGCTGCACTCCCTGTGTGCTGCAGGGCAGTGGGGCAAGGTGTGCCTCCCTCTTGCAGGCTGCAGTGGTGCGGGCTGACAGAGGGTGACAGTAAGGCACTGGGGACACTGCTGGCCACACTCCCCAGCCTGGTCCACTTCGAGCTGGGCGACGGAGCGCTGGGTGATGATGGTGTGAGGATGCTCTGCGCCGGGCTGCGCCAACCTGACTGCCGCCTGCGTGTCCTGCGGTGAGCAGTGCCAGGATGCCGCCTTCCCTGCGCGTCCCCGTGGGAGCGTGTCCCCAAGCATCCTCCAGGGAGGCCGTGTCCCTCTGTCCCACCGTGGCTGGGAGGCACGGGGGGACCGGCACTGCTGAGGCTCTCTCCTGCAGGCTGCGGTACACCCACCTCACCAGTGCCTGCTGCCAGGACCTCACCGTAGCACTGGGCACCAGCACGTGCCTGGAGGAGCTGGATCTGTCCTTCAGCGCCGGGCTGCGGGACGACGGCGTGACGCTGCTGTGTGAGGGGCTCCAGCACAGCAGCTGCCAACTGCAGGTGCTGCGGTAAGGGCACACGGCACTCCGCACACCAAGTGGCTGCAGTGCCACCACCGTGCCCTCAACGCTGCGATCTCCCCTTTGCTCTGCAGGCTGGGGAGCTGTAGCCTGACCGGCGCCTGCTGCCAGGCCCTGGTGGCATGGCTTGGGCACAGCCACAGCCTGAAGTGCCTGGACCTGACTGACACTGAGCTGGGAGCTGGGGCCTCGCTGCTGCTGCGGCAGCTCCGCCATCACAACTGCACGCTGCAGACGCTGGGGTGAGTGTGGCCATGTGGACTTGGGGAGCAGGCGGGTCCTGCTGGTGCTGAGGCTGTTTCTCTGTATTCCTTGAAGGCTGAGCACATCCACACTGAGCAAGGATGCGCTGCAGGAGCTGGTTGCCCTGCAGGCACTAAAACCCAACTTGAAGGTCACAGATCTACTGGAACACGAGGCCCCAGAGACGGGTGCCATGGCACGACTGACCTTCCAGCGCAGCGTCTGGGCAGGCAGGGGGGCAGCTGTTCAGGGGCGAAAGGGGCTCCCCTCCTGTCGGGGAGCCCCTCCCCACAGTAGAAGCCTGCGCTAGCCGGGCTGTGCCCTGCTCTTCCTACTGGTAACATTCCCCCCTGGTGCCAAAGGAAGGCCAGCAAGTTTCCAAGCAGTTTGAGGGCTTGAATAAAAAAGGGACGTTCACACTGAAAGTATTTCACTGCTTAATAAACACACCTTAACGAGATGTGTGGGGGCAGCAGCAGGAGGAGCCACGGAGCCGTTCTGCAAGGCTGGGTGACACCCGCACACCAGGGCCACCCCTCCGAGGGGGCAGAGTTGTGTCCCCAGCCAGAGTTGTGCCCCCTCACAGCAGGACGCCCCTCCCTGGGGCGCTGATGTCAACGTCATCATACCCCATCTCCCTGAGGGTCTCCTCGGGCACGGCTGTGGCATCATCAGAGTCTGCACACAGCATCCCTGTGGTGCCATTCCCCTCCTCCTCGACCCCGATGAGATGTGACGACTGCATCCCTGAGCTCTGCAGCAGAGAGCCTGGGGGGAGGATGGTGGCTGCAGGCACAGTGGGAATGCAACAGTCCTGGCTCAGGGACTGAACCCGCTCCCACCTGCTCGGCCGGGCCCCTCCCGGCACTCAGGCACCTGGCTGTAGTCCAGCTCCTCGTACACCGCCTCGGAGCCGGCATCCTGGCTGGGGCCTGCAAACAGTACACCTGTCACCGGGTCCCCAAGCGTCCCCAATGGGGAGAGACCCCAAAGTGACACCCACCTGCACGCTGAGCCCGAGTGCGGTGCACCTGCAGGGCCAGGGCAGCCAGGGCCAGGCACAGCAACGTGCCCAGCAGCACGCACAGCACCGTGGGCAGCGGCACGTCTCCCAGCGGGACAACTGAGGGACAGAGCGGGCAGCGTGAGGCCCCTCGGGGACCGCCCAGCAGAGGGGGCGGAGGGCTCGACAGAGCCACCTGCGCACACGTCCCCTTCCCGGCAGCCGCTCCCCGGGGCCGGGCTGCCGGCCACGTCGCTTCCATCCTCATCGCAGGCCACGTGCGTGACCCCGGCGGGGCCGCAGGACAGCAGGCGCCAGGGCGTCGAGGAACAGCGCCAGAGCGAGCGGCTCCCTTCCTCGCAGCGTACGCGTCCCAACCAGGCGGGGCCGGAACCCCGATAGGGGACGGCGTGCAGCCTCCCCGCGGCTCCGCAGCCCAGCTCTCGGCACACGGCGGCTGCAGCGGCGGCGCCGTCTTCTACGGTGCCGTTGGCGCAGACGCGGCCCCACGCGCCGTCGCGCAGCAGCTCCAGGATCCCGCCGCAGCCGCCGCCCTCCAACCGCAGGGCCCGCAGCGCTGCCACAGGACGGGGCGCTCACGGCTCCGCATCGCTGGCGGCACCGCGACGGCAGCGCTCTCCCAGCGCTCACCTGAGCACACCGCCCCGGCTCCGCCGCCGCCGCCGCCGCAGCCGCCGCCCCTCTCCGAGCAGTCCCAGAACGCCGCCTCCGTCCCCGCGCAGCCCCCGGCGCCCGCCCACGGCATCCCGGTACCGGAGCCGAAGCGCTCGGGGCCGGGTGCCTCCAGAGCCGTCCCGCAGCGCAGCTGGCGGCAGACGACGGCGGCGTCCCGCAGGCTCCAGGCGTCTCGGCACACGGAGCGCCAGGCGCCGTCGATGTACGCCTCCACCCTGCCGACGCAGCGCCCGGGGCCGCCCGCCAGCCTCAGCCGCCGGCTGCCTGCACGGGAGGGCCGGGCTGGGGCCGGGCGCGGATGCGCGATGCCCGCGGCCCTTCCCGGGACGCCCACCTGAGCAGACCACGGCCAGTGCCGAGGGGCCGCGGTCCAACCCCGAAGCTTAGCACTGCGACAGAAACTCCTCGCTGCCCTCGCACCGCAGCTCCGCGGTGCCCGAGCCGCCTCTCGGCGCGGCGTACGTCTTTTCGGGCACCCCGCAGCCCAGCTGTCGACACGTCACGGACGCGGTGCGGTTGTCGCGGGATCCCACGGACACGCCGGTCCAGACGTCGGGGCGCGGGCCACCTCCAGGCGCCCGTCGCACTGGCTCTCCCCGCCCCGCAACAGCAGGGTTTCGGCGGCTCCGGAGCAGATGACGACGGCCGCCTGGCCGGGGACGCAGACGGGCTCTGGCCGAGGTGCCGCTCGTTCCCCACGCAGCAGAGGCGGTCGCGCCGCAGCGGTCCTTTCCCCGTCCCGAAACGGCCCCCCGGCTGAACGGAGGCGGCCGGGCCGCAGCCCAGGTGTCGGCAGAGGATGTGAGCGTCGGGCAGCTCCCAGGATCCGGCGCATAGCGGTCCCCACGTTCCCCGCTCCTCCACCCGCCCGGCGCAGGGCGAGCCGCCGTCTGCCAGTCGGAACCCAGTGTAGGCTGCGAGGAGAGAGAAAGAGAGCGTGGCGGGATGCCGGCCCGGGCTGCGGACTGCCGGCCCCCGGCCGCACGCTTACGGGAGCAGACGACGGCGGCGGGGTCGGTGCAGCGGTGCTCGGGGACCGGCCGCGCTGCGCAGGAGACCAAGAGGGGCTCGGAGCCGTCGCACTCGAAGGCACCGTTCCAGAGCGGCCCCGGCGCAGCTCCGAAGCGGCCGGGCTCGGGCAGGGCCAGCACCGCACCGCAGCCCAGCTCCCTGCAGAGCACGCGGGCACTGTCCTCGTCCACGCGGCCGTGGCAGACGCCCAGCCAGGCCCGGCCCTGCCGCAACTCCAGCCGGCCCTCGCAAGCGCCGTCCCCTTCGACCAGCCGGGAGAACCCTGCGAGAGGCGCTGGTGGGTCCGGAGCTCGGCGCTGGGTTCCCTTCGGGGCCGCCTGCCCGCGCCCTTACCTTGACACACAACGGCGGTATCGTGGTCGTGATGGCCGTCGTAGGGCCCCCAGCCCTGAATGGCGCAGTCTCATAGCACGCTCTCATTCCCTCTGCAATTAACTACGGCCAGGTTGATGGGACCTTCCGCCGGGCCGAATTTTGAGCCGTGATAGACGCCGGCCGCCGAGCCACAGCCCAGCTGCTGGCACACCAACTCGGCATCCTCCATGGTCCAGGCGGCATCCGCCACCGTGCCCCAGCGGCCCCGCAGCTTCACCTCCACTCTCCCCTCGCAGGGTCCCCTGCCGGCCGCCAGCCGCAGCTCCACCGCCTCTGCACCGCAGGCGGCATCAGTCACGGCCGCAGCTTCCCTCGCCCCGCATCCCCGGCGGGGCCCTCACCCGTGCAGGTCACTCCCACATCCCACTCGTGGCCGCAGAAATGCCGTCCCCAGCCGAAGTTGTAGCAGTCCTGCAGGGCCGCCTCCGTTCCCCAGCAGTTGAAGGGGTGCAGCCGGATGCATCCCTTGCCCTGCCCGAAAGGAGCAAACAGGGATGCCCTCACTGTGGCCCCGCAGCCCAGCTGCCGGACACCACACCGGCCCCGCGGGCATCCCAGTCGAAGTCGTAGGTGCGGGCGGAGCCCCACTCGCCCTCATGCTTCACCTCCACCCGCCTGGCACAGCGATGTCCGCTGTCCATCAGCCGCAGATGGGCAGATACAGCGCTCATCTGTGGGGACGTTGCTGGAGCCGGGAAGGGCTGCGTCACAGCTGCAGGCCCAGCACTCAGCCCACACACTTGCGTGCAGAGCAGCAGCCCCAGCACCCTGTAGGGTTCCATCCCACCCTGCAGACCTGACAGCCTGGGCCGGGAGGGTAGATATAGGCAGCCCCCGCTGCCAAGGGCCAATGGGTGCAGCGGAGGCCCCTCGCAGCCGTTATCAGCAGGGTTATCTGCAAACAGCCACCAATAACTTGCAGTATGCCCAAATATGAGGCTGAGCTCCGCTTCAGCCCTCGAACAGCCCTGCCGGGGGGTCTTGGTGCCCGCACATCCCCAAGGGTAGCCACCAGGAACCGACATTGCGTGTCCCACAGCAGGGGCTGGGACAGAAGCATCCCCAGATGGGGTCTCTCTCTGCACACCCATGCCTGTTCTTTGACCACCATGGGCCAAAGAGGTCCCCGTGCCCAAGGCAGGGGCACGCAGCACAGGATCGTCCCCGCCCGCAGGTGTGTGGCCGCATTGCCCCCCCTTTGATGCAGGTAGGGATGGGGCGGTTCTACTCACAAGGACCTGGCGTCGGCACCGACCACACACAGCCTCCGGGACACCTGTGGTGCGACAGTGTGGTGGTATGGGGATGCACAAGCTCAGTTCCTTCAACCTTTCTGCTTAGGAGAGGTGCTCCAGCCCTCTGATCATCTTATCGGCCCTCATCTGCACCTACTCCGAGAAGTTGACTTGTTATTAGACAAGACCAATTCATTTTTTATTTCTTTACTTTATTATTTTCCATCCTGGCTGGCGTCACAGCCCCTTCCTGACCCGTGCCTGCCTGCCTTGGCTGGCTGGCTGGAGTCGCGGCCCCTGCCTGCCTTGGCTGGCTGGCTGGAGTCGCGGCCCCTGCCTGCCTTGGCTGGCTGGCTGGAGTTGCGGCCCCTGCCTGCCTGCCTCGGCTGGCTGGCTGGAGTTGCGGCCCCTGCCTGCCTGCCTTGGCTGGCTGGCTGGAGTCGCGGCCCCTGCCTGCCTGCCTGCCTTGGCTGGCTGGCTGGAGTCCCGGCCCCTGCCTGCCTGCCTTGGCTGGCTGGCTGGAGTCGCGGCCCCTGCCTGCCTTGCCTGGCTGGCTGGCTGGAGTCGCGGCCCCTGCCTGCCTGCCTTGGCTGGCTGGCTGGAGTCCCGGCCCCTGCCTGCCTGCCTTGGCTGGCTGACTGGAGTCACGGCCCCTGCCTGCCTTGCCTGGCTGGCTGGCTGGAGTCGTGGCCCCTGCCTGCCTTGCCTTGGCTGGCTGGCTGGAGTTGCGGCCCCTGCCTGCCTGCCTTGGCTGGCTGACTGGAGTCCCGGCCCCTGCCTGCCTTGCCTTGGCTGGCTGGCTGGAGTCGCGGCCCCTGCCTGCCTGCCTTGGCTGGCTGGCTGGAGTCATGGTCCCCGATTGGGTCGGCTGGAATCGTGGCCCCTGCCTGCCTTTATTGGCTGGCTGCCTTGCATCACAGCTGGTGTTCTGTTGCCAGGTTTCCCATATTTAGGGCTTTTGTCAGGGAGGTGGCTCATGGCATCATAAAGCCTTGGCTATCTATGCCTTAGAATGTCCCTTGACATCTAAAACATGGCTGCCCTGGAGGACTGGGTGGCTTTGTCTTGACAGTTGCCCTATGTG